TCTCATTTTCACCCACTTTGACTACGGCTGTGTGGTGTACGGCATCCCGATGGTACTCGAGGATAGATTGAAGCGACTCATGAATACGTGCTTAAGATTTGTCTTCGGTACATCGAGGCGGTCTCATGTGTCCCACCTTTCCGACGAGTTAAAGTGGCTCTTCCCTTCTTTCCGCAGACAATATTTCCTCGGATCTTTCCTATTCCAAACGATTAACACCAGACACCCTTCTTACATCTACAGTCTCCTACAGTTTAAACCCGTGGTCCACTCCCAGAAAACAAGATCCCGTGTTTCCGACCTTTACATCCCTTCCCATAGAACTAAGACGTTTGAATATTCCTTTATTTCCCGATCCACTGCCTTCTGGAATTCCTTGCCATCTGAAATCCGCCATGCCTCTTCCTTGTACTCATTTAAATATCATCTCTACCAATTCCTTCTCACATCCCAAAATGACGTTATACAATAAAATAAATATTGTGAAACAGATTTTGACTGAGGTGAATGGTTGATAAAATTTATTGAGTCTTAATTTTAAAAATCAACCCATGCTTATTTTATTTTATTTTTATTTTCATTTAAATAATGTTTTTTTTAATTCGTTTTTTCTCAAAATTTTATTTTATTTTTACTTGTTTTAATTTAATTTCACTGAAGATACTGTATATATACTTTAATATTGATTAATGTAATTTTTGGCCAGATGTAGTTTTTATTTTTTTGTTCATATCTGTTATTCATAAGGGACCTTGTCCCAGAATAAAGTTTACTTTACTTTCTATCAATAAGGAATAAGGGATAGACATTTTTTTTATTATTCTAGATATATATTATTAGTCTAGATAAAAATTATTCCGTTAAGGCCCAACACTGATTATATATATATATATATATGTATGTATCGATTTTCTTAGTTGTATATAAATTCGGGTCTTAAGCGTTGTCATGGAAAGTTAGTTCAATAGGAGACAGTTAGTTGACTGGAAGGATACACCCACAACCCACCCCGATGTTATATCTCAGACTCCTATTGTTTGCTCTAATCAAATGTACCAATACACTAATCGGGATATAATTGAATCTATATACCCTGGAAGAAACGACGTATCATGTGAAAAACAGGATAATCCTGGTAATACCTACAGAACATCGGATGTGACACTGAAGGAATTTTTCGATTTCCTCTCGTCCGCATGTAAAGCGGCATTTGATTTTGAGGAAAAGCATTACAAAGATCTATTGAACAACGAATTCGTAACGAAACTTCTCGAAATATGCGTTGACAAATTTAAATTGAACGTCGAACTGAACGGTGGAAGTAATATATCAGAAGTGTATTCCCTGAACTGTGACAGACTTCAAGAATCAACTGCATTTTGCTCATCGAATGAGGAAGAGAAACAAAACCAACAAGGAATTCGTTCTTTATTGATAAGAATCAACAGGAAAAATGAAGACCAGCATTTTTGTTTTTCACATCTTCCGATATTCGAGGCGGAAAATATTTTGAAGCAAAAAGTGGAAGGAGTTATTAACGAAGGCGTGATGGACTCGATATTCCCATTTTTAATATCGAAATTTAGTGTTTATCTCAATTCGAAAAATGTTGACACTTACGCATTGCCCGGGGAAAATCAAAAATCCAGTAAACAATCAGTCAAACAACAAAGGGTGAAGAAATCACAGGATACAGAGTGAGTGTTTTTACTAATTTATATTTGCATGCTTAGTCGTTACTAGGAATCGGACTTCCAAGTAAAATAAAAAGTTAAATATAATCTGTTACAAAATGCGAGAAATATTTAAAAACAGAAGCCTTGATATTTCATAAAAATTAATTTAAAAAAAATAATATTTAACAGAACTCACTTGCGCATCCAGGATTTAATTTTGGAAGAGCTTCAGACCGAAACCTTTATACAGTGTGTTTCGTATTGCAAGTATGTGTTCTCTAACAAAATAAACAAAAAAGTTCATATTAACATATATCTCAAACTCATTTATTAAACAGATATCAAAGGTTAAAGATTTATTATTTATTTACTACATTAAGGCTGAACAAAGTTTAACATGTTTAATACTAAATAGCAGGTTTTAATCAGCTTATAAACAAATGAACGATAAGCAATGACAGTAGTTGCTCATCTGTTTGTCTTTCAATGGCCTCAAACGTTTTACGATTTGTTATTCTTCGGTAAGGAAATTTTTCACGATATCTTCGAACATCAGCAGCACCGTTTCTATGTACCTCGCCATAAGTTAAAAGCATGTCTGTTCGTTCTGCAAAAGTGAATAAATTTATGGTGTCTCCCATGATAATCATAAATTTAACTGTGTCATAGTATTCACTCACACTAAAACTCACAGAACTAGACAAATAGATGTGCAATTACTGTCATTGCTTATCGTTCATTTGTTTATCAGGTGATTAAAAATTGTTATTTAGTATTAAACACGTCAGTCTTAATGTAGTAAATAAATAATAAATATTTAACCTTTGATATCTGTTTAATAAATGAGTTTGAGATATACGTTAATATGAACTTTTTTGTTTATTTTGTGTTAGTGAACACATACCTAAAATAGTGCCGTGCAATTAAGAAACCCTCTGTATATATATATATATATATATATATATATATATATATATATATATATATATATATATATAACGATAATTACTTGGGAAGAATAATAAAGAAACTAACTACCTATATGAAATGGTGTTTAAGTGATTCTTGAAGTTCTTTTAAAAATGTAATCACACGAACAATAATGCTTTTTTAAGACGTGATTGTATTTAATAGCTATATGTGCATTTTAAAAATCTGGTGTGTCCACTCACAAGACTTTCCTACCTATTTCAGAAAAGTTTTTATATCTTTTAATATATCCATTAAGAAACAAAAACAAATTAAATTAGATCCATTTTCCGAAAAATTGATCAAAGAAAAGATTTGAGTACGATTTCTTTGATAAACTAAAGTAATTTAAACCGGCTTGTGGAAGATCAGCGTAAAAAATTCAATACACTCTAATATTGCTATTCAAAAGCATTTTTACCTTAGCTCAATTTCGTCAAGCAATAATTTCTGTTTAAAGTATAGAAGAAAGTGAAACTTGTGTGTGTTTTTCTCTCATTCGCCTCTTTCTGGCACCAGAATATAAACCCGTGATCTTACATACGAAATTGAATAACTGTGACTTCGTTAATAGTTGTCCGAAATAAAAGATTTTTATATAGTTTCCTAGGGAATTTCATTACCTTTCAAAAACATCGGCTAAAGTGTTTGGGGGGCCCTGAAACGTATAGGTCCCTCGAAAACCGCATGTTGGAAATTTGACGCGATCGCAATACTTTTCCTACATGGTATAGGTAGGAAATTAAAAATTGAACATATTGTTATTCTTTAAGTATTTAGCTTAGATCACTCGCAGTAACACATATGGGTCAATGAAGGAAACATAATATATCCCTTTTGGAGGGCTTCAGCCCAAAATCTTGGTTGATCCGCCTGTAGCAGAACTTACAGGGCCCATTTGTATTTATATAAAATATTTTAAATTGGTATTATCAATTATGTAATATAATTCTCACGAAAACGTATTTTAATTTTAGTTAAAATTTACATCATTCTGATGACGATCAAGGCTAAAAATATTCTACGTCACATTCTATGTTTTTCTTATTTTCTTGTGTTGAATTATGTTTGTTTCAAGACATTTTTTACTTTCTGACACTTTTTTTCACAGCCATGGCAACGCGGTACATCTCCTCGAAAAGTATTTTTAGCATTTTACTGTAATATCCAATATCCAATATGACACCTATCGACTTAAAATATGATAAATTCTGAATTAAAAAAACAAAAATTTTCTTCTATTTATTCTAAATTTTATATTTATTTTAAAAATTAATTTTCTTCCTTGGCTAAATATTGACGTAAATGTTTTAGGTATCCTTAAAAAATAAAAAGGCTTAGTCAGAAATATAAATAGAAAAATCAACTTTATTCTGGAACAAAGTCCTTTAAGAATAACAATATTGTTCATGCAAATTAACTTTAAATCTGGCAAAAAGGCCTAGTACGATAAAATAATAACTAAAGCATAAGTAATAAGACAAGTATATACCTAGCTATAAAGTTATAATAAAGAAAGCAGATGGGCAATAAGGTCAAAATACTGCACTATAGCTGCTAAAAACAATAAAATAAAAATAATTAAATGAAATTGGAAAGGAACGTTAAATTACTTTTATGGGGAAACCATTATTGTGATTAAAAAAAAATAATAACTACAATAAATGGATACTTATAATGGCATTGTAAACATTAGAAAAGTATTGTAATATACATACTAAGGCGTAGATTGAGAGGAGAATATATATGTATATACATATAAATACTGAGGAGTGTTTTTAAGATTAGTAAAAAATGAAATACATCTCTAAGACACAGAATCTTATGAATAAAAAAAAAAAAAGGAAAACACAAAAAATATTTATTTGCGTTTTTGAATTTCATTTCTTTTTAAATTAAAATATATAAAAAAAAAAAAACTTCCCACCAATTTTTATTTTATATGTATGGTTTTAATAAGTTTTTTATAAATATTATAAGTATTACTGACAAACCTCAGAATGGTTTGAACGTAGGATACAGCAACATAAACAAAATTTCAAGTCTAAAACGACAAAATCAAAATTAGCTACAGGATTATCGCATCATACCACAAAAAATGGACATACATTTGATTTCGGTACAGCGTGGGTCTTACATAGAGAACAGAATACTAACAAACGAAGAATAATTGAATCAATATTTATTACTAAAAACCTCAAAAAATCGGTAAATCAACAGACAGATGTAGGCAGCTTTAATACTTTTTATGCTAGCTCAATAGATAAAATTAAAATATAATATACTGATACATAACAGATAAAACAGCTGATCCCTAACCCCTCCACTCCACTCCTTTTAAATAAATCCAGTCCTGTATGAATGCCTTAGTGATGAGCAACGTTTTTCTTAATATCGTCTGCAAAAGAGGTACATAAATCGAGAACTAATAATATTATTTTTAAAAAAAATTTAACATTCTATTTTAATTAATTATTTATTTATTATAACTTTTTAGAAGTGAAAAAACGACATTATCTATATATATAAAAATGAATGTATGTCTGTCTGTCCGTCTGTTTGTCTTTGGTGCATTACTAAACCATTCATCCCATCGCCATGAAACTTTGGGAAGTTGTTCCGTACACTCCTGGGAAGGTTTCTGGCATATTACTTCTGTCTTACGATAATTTTATATAGGTAAAAAAAATAAAAATGTAAATGTTTGCCTGTTCAAAGCTGCAAAAAAAGTTTCGCTATAAGCTGTAGCGCCAAAACGGCTTTACCGGTTTTAACGAAACTTGGATAAAGTCTTCCCGTTGAAACCCTTTTCATTTATGTGTATAACATACTTTCCCGAAAACAAGCTGAAAAATTTTACGATGAATTCAATATTTTATTTGACGATAACTAAAAAAGTACAGAATTTTTGGCTGATAATACCCACATTTATTTGAAAGATTCCTGATTTGCCGACAAAATAATAATAAAAAAACCATCGAAATCCGACGGTTCGTTGCAGAGTTATAGAGTTTTAAAGATTTACTGCTTTCTCTTCAGAAAAGGCCATTTCCTTTTGCTCCTCAGTACTGAAAGCAGAGAAGCATTGTTTTTTTTTGTTATTGATTAATCGAAAATTTTATAAATACTACAGTAGTTGAAATTATCATTTGAAGAAGTGATAAGATTCTCCTTATATATGTCAATACTATTATACGTTCTTTATATGAATTTTTTATTGTAGTTTTATAAGTTCAACTCAGACTGTTTCTGATGATTATGAATGTTCTATTGGAATCATGAGAAACAAAATCATTAGAATTAGTTTAAATTGAATCCATTTTACAGACAAATTTGTTTCTCAACTTTTTAAAAATGACAGATGTCCTTTGCTATTATTCTACTCATATGTGCTCTATATTTTCTTTCTTTTTCATTTTGCCAGGCTAAGCCACAGCAGCGCGTAAAGCCAGTATGAAATAAAATAATGACTAAAGGACGAATTATATTGTAATGATAGATTTTAGAAATTTTATGAAGCAGTGCATGGTAGGTAGATGATATAAATAGAATAGAATTTGGAGTATTTATATTACTGATAGTTGTTAAATAATATGTGCCTGATAAGGATGTATTTTGAACTGTAAATACTGAATTAAAATTAGTTTGCAGTATCTTGAAAATGGCTCCTGAAGCCTAAACGTCAAATAAATAATACAGGATGTAATAACTGTGTACATTTGGTGACCTTTGGCCTAATATTTATAAAAAAACTTATGAGAAAATGGCACCGAACCTGAATGATGTGACTAGAAAATTTTGGTTTTAATGTTTTTACTTAGCCCAGGTTTATACCATTTCGTATAGCATACACAGGCATAAATAATTCTTTGGGCATAAATTTATTACCGGTTTTGTGGTAGTCGACGAAATTTTGAAGGGCCCAGCCTAGGCAAATTTTTCGTGCAGAAAATTTTAATTTTTCGATTGATACAAAAAATCGTATTTAAGGGGTTTAAGATGCGCGAAAAACGAATACCGAATTTGTTTCCCTCTAAATAAATATTTAATTCCACATGGCTACGTCGATTGCTCCAGTTTGTTCCCGTATTGTAGCTATGTGCCAAATATAATATTTATTTAAAATCTATCTGGTATCTGGAGTAAATATTTTTTAGGGAGGAACAAAGTTGATATTCGTTTTTCGCGCCTCAAAAAAAAAAAAAAAAAAACACTTAAATACGAATTTTAGCGGCAATAAAAATTTTTGTCGACAACCACAAACATTTTGATAACTTTGTAACGGCTCCATCGATCCTCAAGAAAATTATTAGCGATTTAGGGCTCTAAATGCTACACGAAATAGTATAAACCTCACCTTCATAAATAAACAAGAACCAAAGGATATAAAATAAAACGCTGCAAATTATTTCACAATGGTTTATTATTTCAAAACAATTATACATCTAAAGTAACATTACCTTCCTAGTGACAAAGAAAAAGAAATAAAAGATGATTCCAATTATTTGACTAAACCTTTTTTTTTAATCATTAGTAATATGGTAAAAAAATAAGCATTACTTCAGTAAAATATTCAAAAACCAAAACAAAAGATATTACCTTTGCAGTATAACATAATAAAATATCTAGAGACCATATCTTTGCTCCTAATTGTCCAATTTTATCGATTTTTTATGAACTTTCGTAAACTTTTAAATAACAATATCAATAAAAAAGTTTATACTTTTTGAGTTATTCGGAATCTAATTTTACCATCGCTCGTAATTTTTTTGTCAGTTTCTTATCGTTGAAGTATGTTATATAGATAAATTTATGAATGTGAGCATAAATAAACTAGAACCAAATGATATAAAATAAAACGTTGCAAATTATTTCACAATGGTTTATTATTTCCAAACAATTATACATCTAAAGTAACATTGCCTTCCTAGTGGCAAAGAAAAATAAATAAAAGATTATTCCAATTATTGGACTAAACGTTTATTTTTTAATCATTAGTAATATGCTAAAAAAATTAGCATTACTTCAGTAAAACCAAAACAAAGGATATAACCTTTGCAGTATAACATATAAAAACATCTAGAGACCATATCTTTGCTCCTAATTGTCCAATTCTATCGATTTTTTATGAACTTTCGTAAACTTTTAAATAACAATATCAACAAAAAAGTTTATACTTTTTGAGTTATTCGGAATCTAATTTTACCATCGCCTGTAATTTTTTTGCCAGCTTCTTTTCGTTAAAGTATGTTGTATAGATAAATTTAAAGGGCATTAAGAAGAAGATTTTAGCGAAGTTTCATTGAGATCGGTACATTCGTTTAGGAGCTACAGTCTATAGCAACGCAGGTTTTTCGGCCGTCATCTTGAAAGAAAAAGGCGGATAGAAATGTCAATGAAGAAGGATCATCCTCGGATGACCACTAATTTTAAATCCAAATTTAAAAGAAATCGGTCGTGTAGTTTCGGAGAAAATGCGCGGACAGCGGACGAACAAAATAATTTTAAATGGTTTTTCGAATTCTACGTATCCTGAAACGTAAAACCTCAAATTTTTAGAGTGGGTTAAGTCTTTGAATTTTTTGTTTCATCACAATGGTTCATTATTAAAAATAATAAACTAAAAATGGGTTGGACATTTTTTTTATATAAATAAAACATTTATATTATACAATTCGCCAATCTTATCCTTAGCACTGATTGAACAACTTTTTACTAATATTAAATAATGCATTTTTTTAATTCTTAAATTATGCAACAATGACAAATCTACCAGAAAATAATGAAGTAAGTGATAGACTCTTAAAATTAGAGTGGTTGTGGAAGCAAATATGACAACTTCAGATTCAAAAATGTAAATTCATTGATTTTTTTATTTTTAAATAAAAATTACAACGATGATTTATATGTTTAAAATTTCTTTTAATGTTGAATTATTTAATTTAAAGTTCGTAAATTTATTTAAAACAACCTTACTGTATTAAAATTATTATAAAAAATCTTTTTCTTTGATTAAGGAATATAATTGAGGCCTTTGTAATCAAAATCTACTTTTTTTAAATTGCTAACATATTCGTGAACATATGAATAATAATACATAAAAAATTAAAATTTCTTAAATTTTATAAATTAATTGTACCAACTTGGTATTATACGGAGCAGCTCTTAATACTAAAGACCACAAACATTTTAAATTCTGTGATTCACAGAAAATTATCAGAATTGCCATCAAATATTATACTTTTTCTGCTGTATAAACAATAGAATTGAAAAATAAATACGCGCACCTGATGGATCATTGTCAAGACACTATGATTTTAATTAAACATGAAAATTGCAGGTATACATTTTTGAACTATTTTTTACTTTTTAGAAATATATCAGAGACAAAGCGCGTTGTCAATAAACTTAAATAAACGTTTTATTCAAATTACAACAAATTCCAGAAAAAAAAAATGAACGTATAAATCTATTCAGACAAAAGCTTATTACGACCTTGCAAAACATTAATTAATTTTAAGGAAGGAGATGGTCCGGGGGGGCGGTCATAAATATACTAAATAGTGGCAAACCTATTTGATTAAAAGCCAACGTTTCGACCGATTTTGCAGATCTTCTTCAGGGCTAGAACGGACTAAAAGAAGTAGAGAATTGTGGATGTTACATAATATTTTGACAAAAAAAAATATAAACAATGTGAATAAGCTTATTGAAATTATAAACAGTTAGTACATTAAAATATAAACAGAGTAAGCTAAGTAACAAGATCCTAAACTGAAGTAAATAGATGGTAACAATTGTTGTAGTATAATATAGAATAGAATATATGCAATTGTGAATATACTCCTACAGATCTACAGGAGAGATTGGAAGGGAAGGAAAAAGGATATAGTATGAAATAATGGACATAAAAGGATGTGGAGAAATAAAATAAAAAATAACACAAAAAAATAAATAAATAAGTAAATAAAACTAGAAGAAGAAAAATGGAGACTTACAGGTCTGTTCAGCAAGGAGTTTCACTTAAAACTGGAAAACCTGAGTAAGTACCTTTGGGGAAATTTGCTTACCTAGTTGGGAAGTGGTGAGGGAGTAACTAGTAAAAAGTAAAACAAAACCTGAAATATTACAGTGTCTAAAATTTGAAGATATGGATTGATACAAGGGAAAATACTATATTTATGGACTAATAAATTATAAATATATACATATACATATAAAATAGAGTTAAGAAATTGTAGATAGAAGTACAATATCAGTAAAAACAAAATTGAAAAAAAATATTACCACTATTTAGTCTATTTATGTCCGCCACCCCGGACCATCTCCTTCCTTAATAATACAACGGTCAACTATTAAGTATTCAATATTAATTAATTTTATTTAATTAATTAAGTTAATTATCAAACAAAACGATGGACAAATGTATACCTATAGATATGATAAAATAAAAATACACCGAGAAATCCAAAAAGTCAACGTTAATCGAAATGCGCTGGAGCTGCCTTAAAATAGGTATTTTTTAAAAAAAACTGAGTCTCCAAAAACATATTAATGGACCCTTATAATGCAAAAATCCATAAAACTCAAAACACTGTGGCGTCATCTTAAAATGGAGATCATTTTCAAAAACTGTGGCCCCGAAAACATATAAATAGACTTTAAGGGATTCTGTTAGGTTCACTCAATAAATACACCATTAACAATTGATATATACAATTTAATTTTTTGGGAAAAAGTACAAAAGTGATGAGTGATAAAATTTAAAAAAAAATACAAAAGAAAAATAACATTATACAAAAATGAGAAATGCAGCTGCTGAAATATTAATTACAGACTAAAGGAAAAAAAAAGGTTAAGTTTTATAAACGAAAAATACAAAAAGTCAACGTTAATTGAAATGCGCTGAAGCTGCCTTAAAATAGATATTTAAAAAAAAAAATGAGTCTCCAAAAACATATTAATGGACCCTTATAATGCAAAAATCCATAAAACTCAAAACACTGTGGCGTCATCTTAAAATGGAGATCATTTTCAAAAACTGTGGCTCCGAAAACATATAAATAGACTTTAAGGGATTCTGTTAGGTTCACTCAATAAATACACCATTAACAATTGATATATACAATTTAATTTTTTGGGAAAAAGTACAAAAGTGATGAGTGATAAAATTTAAAAAAAAATACAAAAGAAAAATAACATTATACAAAAATGAGAAATGCAGCTGCTGAAATATTAATTACAGACTAAAGGAAAAAAAAAGGTTAAGTTTTATAAACGAAAAATACAAAAAGTCAACGTTAATTGAAAAGCGCTGGAGCTGTCTTAAAATAGATATTTTTTTTTTAAAAATGAGTCTCCAAAAACATATTAATGGACCCTTATAATGCAAAAATCCATAAAACTCAAAACACTGTGGCGTCATCTTAAAATGGAGATCATTTTCAAAAACTGTGGCCCCGAAAACATATAAATAGACTTTAAGGGATTCTGGTAGATTCACTCAATAAATACACCATTAACAATTGATATATACAATTTAATTTTTTGGGAAAAAGTACAAAAGCTGTGAGTTATAAAATTAAAAAAAAAATACAAAAGAAAAATAACGTTATACAAAAATGAGAAATGCAGCTGCAGAAAGATTAAAATAAAAAAAAGGTTAAGCTTTATAAACGAAAAATACAAAAATAAAATCATGCTGGCCAGTTAACAAAACTTGAAAGAGTTGCAACTCTAGCACAGGTAATACAATACAGCGGGTTCCCAGACAATTGTTATGCCGCTAGATGAAAATTGCACATTTTTTACGTTAGCGACTAAACTGCAATTTTCTATCGAACTAAACTTTCTTTTTTCTATATCATCTGTTGTTTTAAACAATTCAATTGATATTTTGTATCGAGCCTGGACGATCGATTTCCAAAGAGGTAGGATGAAGTAAAGATAGCTAAGATTATTGAAGGCGTCATGACTTCACACTAGTGAGGTAACAAGACTTTTATATCGAAGAAATCCTTAAAATTAAAAAAAAGAAATCATTCGAACCGTATTTTTGTCTTAAATAACGAATGATAGATAATAGATGCATATTATCAGTCATTAACAAATAACAAATAATTACCTGTCTAAAGGTATCGAATAAGAATAACGAATACAAATTTATCTATTATTAGTTATTTAGATAAAATTTCAAATAATTTATTCGAATAACGCCCAGCACTAGAGGGATTACACAACAAATGGAACAAAAAATAAGCAGCAACGTCGCATGTGGTGAACAAGACATCGAAACAAAAACAACTGTTGTTATTCTTTTAAAAACGTTATGTTGAGATGTTATTGATACCTAAAGAGAATAAATGAAAGGAGATAGATATAATATAAGTTTAAAATACGAGTATGGATAAAAGAATTGGAAGTAATCGACCTTAGGGAACATTAGGGTTGAGGACGTTTTTAGCAGAAGATAATTTGGGAAACTCTCATCAAAGAACTTAACGATACAGTTCAACTTAAAAAAAAAAATTGGCTTTCAAAACAAATTTTACTGTTGTAATGCGGATATTTGACTGATGGGTTTGCTGACTACTGCTTTAAGGTACTGAGAAAAATAATCTACTGTTCAGTATAACTCTGTTCGTGGGTGGAACCTGGATAAGACAGTCTTACCTTACAGTCTTAGGACAATCTTAATTTAAGTAAATAATTGATTTCATGAACTCCTGTTAACATTACATTTACCTAGTTTTTAGTGAAGGAATTTGTTAATAATAAATTGAACAAGCTCATTTATATGTTTGAATTTTCAGGGCTGAAATCGAAATACAGGTCTGTGACGAAGTTAATAATGTGTCCAAGAACTTCAAGTGCTCCCAGTCCTTATTGCTTTCAAAAATGGAATATTTTGCGGAAGTCACCGAAGGTACATATTGAAATCTCACATAAAGAGCTTTATTTTTATTCTAATGCATATTTATTTTGCATGAATTTTGTTATTAGTTGAAAAAATATCTTCATGAATCAGTGTACTCAGATGAAATTTTGTTTTGCATATATGATGATAAATACAGATCATTGCATATTTTAATTATTTCAAGTAATTAGAGATAAATATTACAATGTAACAATGAAAGTAAAATCCAAGGTTCATATACAATGCAAAGAAGTCAACTAAATAACGCTACTATCAATAAATAAAGGGCTCCCTATACAATTTTTTATTTTTTACGAACATTTGACGAATACTAACAAATCGGGTTTTCCACTAAAAATGGCTGATTCTGACCTAGTCTGACTAATGATGTATTCTTTGGGTCGTTTAAAATTATTATTGTCTAAAATTTTGTCGAAAGTTAGCCCATAGTTCTTTCCTCCTTTTCAATAATTTAACAATGTTTTACCACCTCACTTTGTCAAGGGCTTGTCTCTGCCATTTTTTTGCTCCTATACTATATCTTTGAGTATACTCTCGACATAGACTCTCCACCTGTTTCGTGGCCACCCTTTGTCTTGTCGTCCTCCTTTCTTTCCCTGCGGTATCCTTTCTACATGTCCGACACACCTTAGTTGGCGCTTTTTAATGAATGCCATGAGATGTGATTCTTGGTACATGTATCGAAGTTCTTCTTAACCTCCACCTTTCATCTTCACAGATAGGTCCTTACATCCTTCTGAGTGCTTTTTGTATTCAATAATCTTTCGGTTTCTTTGATATGTACTCAGGTTTCACAGCCATAGATTACTACTGGTGCTATGACTGTCTTGCATAACAGGATCATAGCTCTATAACTTAAGATTCTGAGCTTTAATGGTTTCTGTAGTACGAAGAAGCATCTATTCCTAACTGCGACCACTCGTGCTTTCATTTCTTCACACCCTTTCTCATACTTAATTTTTCTCTGTAACGAGGGCTCCTTAATATTTGAATTCGCTTGCTGTTTTAATGATTTACCGACCAAGTCGTATTTCTGGTTCCAACCTTGTTGTTTGTCTCGAGGTCTTGTAATTAGTTTTTTTCAACTTTTATTTGTGTTCTCATTGGATTGTAGACCCAATTTACTAGTTGTCGTCAAGCCCAAAAAAAAAAAGTTAAGTCATTAAGTTCTGATTGAAAGTTAAAAGTCACAGAAAATAAGGTAATTTGGTCAAAGCTATGTATCATAATATATGAATATTATTATTGCTTGGTTATATCTTCCCTTCTTGTCGCTTTTAACACCAGAGTTATTCATCTTATGTTTGGTTTCCCAAATCTCCTTTCATTGGTGATGATCTTGGAATCTGGGCTGCCTCACCAATACTGAGATATTGAATTGGAAAATGGCTAGTATAGGAAAGAACGCCTTGAGATGTTTGAGAATATAGTGTAGAATTTTCATTTAAAAAAAGGATGAATCGACTGGAGAATTTATATATATATATATATATATATATATATATATATATATATATACAATACGCAATTGCTTGATAGGTACCTGATAAATATATTAGAGTAATACCATTCATAATGCTCTCGATCGCCCCTCTCCCAATGAAAATGTTGAGGAACGAGAATATAGTCCTTCCCCCCCCCAATAATTTGACAATAAAAATTAAAATCAATAATAAATAAGCTACAGGAATGAATTAAATGTGTAAACTAAAATCGATTAAGAAAAGTCTACTATCTAGCTATGCTAGAGCCTAGTAATAGGTATTTAATGATTTTATTGATACCTAGGAGAAAACCTAGAGGAAACTAGCATAATCTGTATGGGATGATGTCATGGACATATAGGATGTTAAGGTCATGGTGTAGGGTCTTATTCGTGACATAATATGGAGCATTGACTATTGTTCGAAGGACTTTGGACTGGAAGAATTGGATACGTTTGATATTCGATGATTTTGTTGTCTCCCATAGTTCGTAGGTCCAGATAGGTTTCAGTATGGTCTTGTAGATTAATAGTATCTTTTTTGTTGAGAGATGAGATGTTCTGTTTAGTAGTCTATATAGTTGACCAAATCGTCGGTTAAGCTCTTGTCTTTTAAGTCTCGTATGTGGTTTCCAAGTTAGTCTTTTGTCTAGAAGGAAGCCAAGGTATCGGGCTGAGTAGAGAAGAGGAATTGAATTAAAGGATTGGCGGACAGGATCTGCGTCGAAGAGTGAAAGTGACATGTTTGCATTTTGATTCATAAATTTTGATGCGCCAGTAGTTGCACCACTGCTCAATCAAGAAGAGATGTCTTTGTAGGTTTCGGGATGCTATTATCATCAGCAAATGTTGCTAGGAAGGTATCAGAAGTTGAAGGGATGTAGGCGGTGAAGAGGATGTAGAGAACTGGGCCGAAGACAATGCCTTGTGGATAATGTTTGGAGAGTTCATTGCCGCAGCGGACTTGAAAGGAGCGATTTGAAAGGTAGGATTTGAGGACTAGGTACAAGGGTTGGGGTAAATGGGTTTTGAGCTTGAAAAGCAAGCCATCGTGCCATACCCGGTCGAAAGCTTGAGCTACGTCCAGAAAGGCACCATTGGAATATTACTTGTTTTCAAGTGCAGAGGATGGTCTACAACGCGAAGGCCTTGTTGGGCAGTGGAATGTCTTGAGCGGAATCCAAACTGATGGGAAGGGATATTGTGGGATTCGAGTATGGGTAGGATGCGTTTGAGAAGAATTTTCTCAAAGATTTTGGAAAGGATCGGGAGTAAATTTATCGGTCTATAGGATGATGTATAATTAACAGGTTTACCTGGTTTAGGAAAGAGGATAATTATAGAATGTTTCTACACCAGAGGAAAGTGGATTGTGCGGAGGATACAGTTGAATAGGTATTTAAGGAATATAATTGCTTTTTTTGGGAAGTTGTCTGAGGATCTGGAAAGTAAGGAGATCGTGTCCAAAAGATTTGCGAGGTTTTAAGTTCTAGGTGTTAAAATATAACGTTTTTTCGAATATTTGCCATCTAAAGTGATTATAAAATTGAGTTTTATAAAGATCTTTATTATGGGAATTGATCCCTATTTATAAGTGACTTTAAATTACCAATCAAATAAATATAAAATAATATAAAAATAAATGACCAATTAAGTTTCTCCAATCCTAATATCTGAGGAACAAAATAAAGAAACTTGCTGATTGCTTGAATTATTTCTTTGAAATCGTAAATATTAGGATTGGAAACACATAATTAATCACTAATAAATAGGGATCCGTTTCTATAATAGAGAGCTTAATAAAAATACTCAGTTTTATTACCACTTTAGATGATTAATTTGATTTTTAAAGTTCGTTTCTCAATAATTATGTTAAATGTTTACACATAATAAAAACTCCAGCCATTTTTTTTTCTTTTTTAGTCCATCGCTTCCCCAATCAAAATTGAAAGTCCGCACCTATACTTACAACTTCAAAATAACTTACAATTTAGTGAGGTAGCTATGTGTTTAGAAATAAATAGAACTGGTTCTAAGTGAAACTCCTTGCTGAACACACCTCCCTGATAAAGACCTGCAAAGTCGGGTCGAAACGTTGGTTTTTAATAAAATAGTTTTGCCATTATTTAGTCTATTTATGGCCGCCACTCCGGACCATCTCCTTCCTTAATAATACAACGGTCAACTATTAAGTATTCAATATGTTTCAAATTAATCGCTCGTATTTACAATTTCTTAGATATTTCTTAAAATATATATTTAATATTTTATTGGAACTTGCCGTACATCAGTAAAACTGATGCCAGTGTGATCATCAATAAAGGTTATGTTAGACATAGGCAGGCACAATTTTGCCCAATGCCACGTGGTTGGGGACTCCTGGTCTAGGGCATATGTCGTATCAAATAGTTATACAACTAATTTCTTGAAATTAATTTTATTATAGTACAATGGAAATCTCAACATTTTACTTACATTTTGTGTTTAAAAAATAAATAAATAAAAAATGAAAGTTCAGGCCTAACTACTCACTCTACTAATAGAAAATTAGACGCAATAATCACCAATTAATATTATTCACAGTTTATGAGACGGGTTATTTTACCCATAGTTCATTAATCTTCACTGTGCTCAATTTTCAAAGTATTTATTTTTACCTTTCTCTTTTAGTTGGAATTGGAATGAGAGGAGAAATGGGAAAAAAATTGGGAAGAAGAAATAGTTGGACGACCTTCAAAGACATTTCAGGGGAAAATGTACAACAGAGACACCGGTCGGTAAGGAATTTTAATTCCACCTTACTATACCGACACTTAAAGAATTAAAATGATTCGCTAAATGATATATCAGTTAATTAGCATCACGAACCGTAAGATGGTACTATTTCTGATTTTTGACAGCTAATAATGGAAATTAAACTCATGGTTATAGTATTACATGTTAATCTAAAAGTGAAACCTTCTTAATGAATTAATCTTTTCAGAGAAAAAACTTTTATTAGTTCCGTCAAATAGCATTATGTAGCTAAGTAATTACGAGTACCTTGTAAAAGCTAATTCAGAAATTATCATAAGATATACTGATAAACATAAGATCACATGAATGTAGACCAGAGATATTACCCCTCTCACCAGAAGTCTATCCACACTACACTAATAAGAGCATCACTAAATATTACAACTCTTAAGGTGGCATGTATAGTCGGTCATACAACATAGTATGATAGGTTTTGACAAATCTGATTGGCATACATTATAAAAATCACATTGCAACGTTTCTGTCTTTCCATTTTAGCTATTATCATTTATTTATTTGCCATCCTCTCTTGCCTATTGTATAGCCTAATGTGTTTGCAGGTGTAGGTTGTTACGCATGACTGCTCAATTATTCACTACTGCAATGAATGCAATGAATAGTAAAAGATTCCATCGCTTGTTAAACATTCGTTGACCTCCGGTCTGTGACCGAAGGGTGACTTCTGTCTTCTGATGGTCTTCCTAGCGCT